CTCGACGTGGAGATGACCAATACGATCGTGAGCGATTTGGCGGGGGACCTTGACCCTACCTTCCTCTTGGCGGTTTCCCCTGCCGCCAACCCTCTAAGCGCCCTATCCTCGACCACCTGAGGCCCGACCCCCTTGGCCCTGGCCTCCTCCTCTTCCGTGCGCCTCCCTCCATCCGCGACAACAACGTAGGTCCTCCCCTGACCCCCACTACTGTCCTCCTCCTCCAGGCCCCACTCGATCTGGCTATACCGGACCTCATTTGTACCACCCTCATCTAATGTAAGGATCAAATGATCCTTTCCCTTTGCCTGTCCTGAGATAGTACGGCCTTTCCACTTTTTACCTTTGTCTAGGTCCTTATGCCAGAAAGTGGAAACCGGCATGGATTGCGCCTCGAGCAACACCACCTCTCTACTCAACGCATGATATGTCATGGTGGGTTGTCGGCTCTTCTCAAAGAAGTGCACCCGTAGGGGTTCTAGCATGGCATGATAGAAGAGATTGGCCAATTGGGGCTCAGTGACCCCGTGGTCTGGGACGGCTACAAGCTCGTCCATTACGCCTTTGAGTGCTCTGGCACTCCTCCACTGGCGTGAGTGGATAGTTTGAAGTTTGTCAGAGGCCCTAACACCTCACGTGACATCTGTGAATCGCTCCTTAAACCACCAGTACACGGCCTCAGCCTTGCAGCAAAATAACTTGTCGCCACAAGAAGTAAAAGGCGGGCTCGGGGCAGGGTCGGAGCGTCAGAAGGTTTTCAAATTTTTGGGCCCATCTCAATTCGTACGTCCCCCCCCCCAAAAAAAAGCCTTTGGCCGTGATTGCAGTTGGATACACTTTTAGGAGTACTCGTGCGAGTTTGCCCTCAGTGAGGGCACTTCAGTAGAACGTAGAACACGGGAAGCAAGACTGTCGGACTCTCAAAAAAAAAAAAAAGCCTTCGGCTGTGATTGCAATTGGATACACTTTTTGGAGTACTCGTGTGAGTTGGCCCTCAGTGAGGGCACTTCAGCAGAACGTAGAACACAGGGAGCATGGCTGTCGGACTCTTAAAAAAAAGAACAAAAAAAAAAAAAGCCAACAACGCTTTGCCGGTGAAAGTGGTTGGATGCATTTCAACGTGGCTAGTGTGAGTATGCCCTCAGCAAGGGCGTTTTGAGCAAGAGAAATATGCGCTGCCTTGCTAGCAGGGCCAGGAGAAAAAAAACAAAACGAGAAAAAAAGGAGAAACAGCAATGTTTCCCTCTCCTCGTAATAGTGATCAGATGCATTCAGGAAAGTGATCATTTGCTTATGGCCTCCATGACGTTCACGACAACATTGCTCTCTGGTGTTTGTTCCCTTTTTTTTTCTTTTTTTTTCGGTTCAGGCAGACCGGTGGCACCAGTGCCACTTCCAAAATTCCCACTGCAGGTACCCTCGCGCAGAAGGCTCGGAAAATAGTGGCGCGCAGTGGGAAGGTAGGTTCGGGATTTTAGGTGTCGGTGTACTGGTGGTTTAAGGAGCCGGAAGAACTCAGGGAGAAGGGTGACCTTGGAATAGGCGACCATATTGTTCTCGCACTGTGCGGCGCAGGCGAGCGATCTAGTGAAACTGGCGGCCTCATCCTTGAGGGCTTGGAAGGCAATGAGGACTTGTTCCTCTGGCACTATATGTTGTACATAAATATATGTATTTACGTTGGCCTCCCAATTATTAAAATTTTCTTCTTTCTTCCCGTCGTAGGACTCAGGAAACTTTATCTTAACGGGCTCTCTACGGAGGCGTGGCTCTTCCTCTTTTGGCACAGCCAGCTTTGTGCCCTCAATGGCGCCTGTGCAAAACTTTTCAGTGCCTTCTATCCTTGCCTGCATTTCTGCGCCCACGTGCCGCACCATCCCGCGTGTGAAATCCCTGAAGCCTAAGCGAATGGAGTGTAAGGTCATATCCTGGGCTCTCGAAAACTGATAATGCTCATCCCAAGCCTTAGCCAGAAGCTCAATGTTTCTAGAGATATATCTAATTTCCCCTGTATATCGGCTTGTGCCTGGATATGCGCTCTTTGCTCCTTAATCACCTCCAACTCCTTCGCTATTTGGCTCGCCTCGTCCATCCTTTTTTTCCTCTCCCTCATAAGACGCAATTTCCACTCTAACTTCTTCTCCTCCTCGATTGTCTGGCGTCTTAGGGGATCATTTTCGGCCTCCCACTCCCTGATAACTGCTTCCTTCTTTTCTGGGGGTACATACAGCATGGCCTCTTCCTCTTCTCCCAGAGATAAATTAGCTACCCACTCAAAAATCTTTTTCTCCATCCTCGAGTCCTCCTTCTCTGTGCCACTGGACTCAGCCCTCTGCTTTGCGCCTCTCCTGAACAAGGGCTCTTCCTGTTCCTCCTCCTCTCCTACCTCCTCAATCTCTTCCTCATCTACTTCTTTCATCTTCTCTTCCTCCTCCTTCTTTAACCTCTCCATTTCTTCTTCCAACTTCTTCTTCTTTGCCGCCTGCTACTCCTGCACGCCCAGCTTCTTGGCCTGCTTAATCAACTTCTTTTTGGCCTGCTTCTTTTTTCTCTCTCTAAGGACGGTGGCGGCCTGCTCTTCCTGAGCCTTGGTGTAAGGGGTGGTGCTCTTGCCACTACGCGTGTC